AGGAAAAGGTTGCACTCAAAGAATTGGAAAAGTACAAACAAACCGAAAGTCCTCTTGTTTTCAAACATTACAGAAAGACTAAATCCAAGTAATTAAATATTTGTTGATTTTAAGTTTGAAAATGTGAGACAATATTTTTTCCCTGTCTGGTTCAGCTTATTGCCCTATCTCAGAACGCCTTATCATCCTTAATTTAATGTAAGGGACCATGGTCTAGTGGTATGATTCTCGCTTTGGGTGCGAGAGGCCGTGGGTTCGATTCCCACTGGTCCCCTTTCCTTTTATTCAATTCAACACGTATTTTTGTTCTCAATAGTATCATTACTTGGAAATTGCAGTTCCACAACTTGGCAGGAGTGATTGATCCATTTTACTATAAGAACACCTGCTAATCCATAAAAAATCATAAAGTATTATTTAAAAAACGACTAAATTGTAATAGTTTTTATTAAAGAAGTCCAAGTTTACAAATAATTACAAGAAAAATTCAGAATCCTTCTTGATGAGGTTCTTACTAGATTCCCACAATTCAACTTGTTTTTCCACTTCGTAGGATTCGTCAGAGGAATTTTTCTTTTCCTTTCCATCATAATAAGATCCAGAGATTATTCCAGTTTCGTTTGGATTCACCAATTTTGCTAAATCGCCACCAGAAACAGATAATTCTCTTCTCAAATCCTTTGCATGTTCAATCATTCCCTTTTTTCTTTCAGGATCAATATTTCTTGTCAAACTAATTATGGAAATAGTTGAATATTTATCTGAAACTATTCGATACTTACCTTGTTTCTGGAATAAATCCAGGATTGAAACAAGTTACACGGAATTGATTCTTGAATTCACTTGAATTTTGTAATCTTTTCCATAATTCATAAGTGAACAGAATATTCAAGAGTTTGGAAGTTGGATATCTACTTCCAATTTCTTCTGGAGTTTCGTATGGTGGTGAATGAGTTTCTCAATGGATCATATTTTGCTTTTGGCATTGGATTTTCATTTTGATCTGTTT